TAAAAAAGGTGATTAGTTATATTTATAAGTAACAGATATAATATAATTCCATTTTTGATTATACTATCTTAACATATGATAATTTATGCATCATATAATGATATTCTTATATTATATATAATATTCTTAAATTTATGTTAATATTAGAACAAACATCAAGTCAACATATTAATGAAATATTAATATGGTATACGGTATAGAGTATATAGACTATTTAGATTCATGAACTAGTAAATATAATAAGATATTATTAATAAATAATATTATATAAGCGAAAATAAAGTTTTAACAAAATACATGCCACTGGAAGATATTAGGTAATCTTTTCTATTTTATAATTAAGAATAATGGTAGGTTATTGAATTGATAACTCGTCAGTTTATAAAAGAAAATAATGATATAGGTACCTAAATTAACTCTTGGAGTTATTCCATTTCAAAATACAATTGTATAATATTATAGTAAATTGTTATAAAGACAATACCCCAGAGTTGAAATCTAATCCTATATATTATTTGTTGGTCCCATACTCCTTACATTGAAATTAGTGTATTTATGATGAATAGGTATACCACTTGTTAAATTGTTATTATATTATAGGTATTATTAGTATAGTTTTTTTATTGTTCATGTTGAAAAAATAACCCAATATTTATTTTGGCTGAAAAATAATGTCTTACTTACATAATATAAATAAACGTTTCAGCAAACGTTCACGTTCTCGTGAATTACCTACGGGCTACGTTATAATATTCGTATTATGTATACTTAGGAGGTAGGTACTCGTTTAAAACATGCATTCTTTAATTAGTAATTTTTAACTACACAAGTAGAAGAATGTCAATTATAACTGTTAAAAATATTATGTTTTATTTTAATATTATACCTATACTTACTTCATTCAATCATACGCACTTAATGATATTCTGTTGTAAAATGATAAAAAAATAAAAAAAAAAAATATTATTACTTTTATGGTACTGGGCAAATTGTATCGTATATTATTATGTATTGTATGTATATGTTGTATTTATATATTGTATATGTTATAAATTACGTTATTAACAATTTTGCGTAATTTAATAATATTATGCGTTTAATATAATTACTCGTATGATAAGGAAAATGATATATAAATATCTGGGCGTTATTCATTTGGGCGAATAACCCAAAATTTATCTTAGCTGATACATATCATTTGGGCAAGAAACTAACCGATCGATTCAAGTTATTAAATAATAGGGAAGTAACATACCTATACCTATACAATATTTTTTATATATTTACTACGGTAAAATTTTATTATTTTATCGTTTCGCCTGATTAGTGATAACTATTTTAAAATTTCGAAACCAATTTACAAATATACATTAAAATCATGAGAAGAACATCAAACCGGAAAATTAACAATAGGTAGAGAATATGTACATTTAAAGAATATAGAAAATATGTATTGTTTCTATTGAGTAGACATTTTATTCAAAGACTTTTCAGAATATTTGAGCTAATTATTTTTCCATCAACCCTCTATTCTATAAATATTAATTTTTATTAGTAAAAATTGATTTTTTAAATTTTATATCATTAAATAGAGTTAATAAACAATTCGAAGAAGAATAAACTTATTTTATTTTCAAAAAGAATCACTGCAGCTTCGAAATAAAGTGATTTTTAATTTATAATTTTATGATTGATTAGTCACTTTATAATAATGAGATTCATAAAAAAAAAATTACCAGACAAGCTTGTATAATAATATTTGCTATGAAAAATTATAAACTCAAATATGATAAACGTAACACACTTGTGAACGGTGATTAGAAAATTATTTGATAGAGAATCATCAATTCAACGTCATAGCGAACGCGAAGAAAATATTTGGACCATGGAATTAATTAGTGTTTATCATAGTTAAATATTAATATATTTTAATGTGTGGTGTATACTTAGTATCTAGATACATTTTTTTAAAATTCAAATTAAGCTTTGGTAGAAAAAAATGCCTGTCGTAAACTAATAAATATAAACAAAATCAATATTTTAAAGGGTAGGTACTATAATGCATGTAGTAAGAAAACTAATATCTAATGATTAAAAAATAAGTTTGGATCATAATAAAGGAACAATAATAATTATATTATATTAATGTTTATAATTATTATTTGTTATGATAGTTATAATCGGGAATATGCCCGTGAAAAATGTTGGTCTCCTTGCCCGTCGAATTTATAAAACGTTTTTAATTATGTAATTTAATGGGTAAAATATTAAATAATAAATATATATATATATATACAATTATATTGATTATTTTTCCGTTTATATAATATAATGGTTTTATTGTATATAAATTATAATTTATTGTTAGTTTTATTAGATACTTTTAATTCAAAAGTAACCGAATTTGAAGAGTTATTATTTACCATGCACATATATTTTATTAGCTGATTATATACAATTCCAGATGTCAATAAGGTCTAAATTCATTATTTTTAAGCTTATTAATTATAAACATTTTCATTTTTGCAATTATCAAGCGAACCATAATTATTTTAATAAATAATACAATATTTTATAAGTTTAAATACAGATATAATACCAATTTAGTGTTTCAGACATAACAAATTTACGTCTCGCATAATCAAAACTGTGTTAAAACATTAGAGTAAATTGACTAATAACAATTATAAATTTAAATATTATCTATATTTTGACGTTTGATTATTAATATTTTAATTTAAAGTGTGATAGTCTATGTATATGCGTAAATAGGTATATTATATTCCCTATTCACATATCAGTTTATAATTAAAATATACAAATACCAGACAGACACAGATAAAATTCTCATCTTTTGATTTGATGACAAATGAATTATTAATTGTAATATAATATGCTATTCTAGAATCTAAAGCTTTAATAATAGTTCTCTTTGACTGTTGTGCACAAAACCAACAAATATATGAGGTCTACTTTTTTATCAAAAATTCTAGTTATTATAATACAAGATCAGTAAGTATATTTTTATTTTTAATTAAAATTCTATTTTAGCGATTAAACTAACTTTTATTTTACTGTGTTTATAATCAATAATAACGTATAACAATTTTACGTCGTAAAATTGTTAGAAATATTATAAATAATGTAGATTATATTATTAATTCACTTTACATATCGATTTGTACTTTATACATGATTAATGTAAATAATATGTGTATTGTATATATTTGCAAAATGATAAATTATTTTTTTAATACTATATGTCTATTTATTTATGAAAAATCAATAAACACGATGATATTTGTCGATCTTCTTGCCTCCTAGAATAAATTGTTCTTCACAATAAAAATTTCTAACCACACATACTTGGTCGATGAATCTATGTCAATATACTCTATCATTCTTTAATTTTTATATGTGTCGCATCGTTATCAACAAAACATGCATAAATATAGACTTTATTATTTATACTTACATGTTTTACATATTTTTAATTAGGTACTTATATGATTAAATATTTCTTTAAATAATCGTGGAACTATACAAGCCTGTTATGTGCGAGCTCTATTTTATGCTTTCCTGAATCTATCTTCTTATGACATTTAATATAATTGGCAAATTAAGTTTTGTGTTTGGATAAATTAAAAATCTTCCACAGTTCCAATAATGGTTACAATTATAATTTAATTTCAGTTTAATTGACAATATGATAAAAATCTACTATAATATTAATTTAATCATCTTTAATATATAAATTTTAATATTGCGTTAAATACGAAATTAACGACGTATTAAGTATTGCTTATTATGTAATTTATTTATGAGTGGTCCGAATTTGAAATTAAAAGGATTGTAGGTGTATAATACATAGGTTAGTTAAAATACATGGTTGTGCTACAAGGTTTTACGAGTATACTATGTGTATAGGTGACAGACGCGTATGTTGTAGTGTAATATTGAATCTAATCTATTAGCAGTAAGAACGAATTTTTTTCGTTAACACCGCAAATCACACAAAAACTGTTCTGTACATTGCGCGACGACCAGCGGTATTTTCCGTTTTGTCGGGTATCTATACAACGTAGTTTGGTTGTTCGGTATAATATATAATAGGTGTAAATATATATACAATTTAGATGCGCATAAAAAAGAATGAAAACATTTATTCTCATGGACGGTGGAAAAAAAAAGTAAGAAGCTTAGCATCACACTATCATCGACTGAAACTGAAACTGCAGAAGTAGGCGGAGCAACAGATTAGACGGGTGTTGGGATCGTAAATTAATTAAAAGATTCTTTCAAGTCTGGTCTCGGCGAGGTAGGTTTATAATACGTATCAAGTGTAATAAAAAAAAAAATAAATAAAAATAATAATAATAATAATAATAGTAATAATAGTAACGAAATAAACAAACAAATAAAAAACAATATTATAAATATATATATATGTATAGGCATATAATATGAGGCAAAAAATGGCTGTCGCCACCACTGTGTATGGGTACCTGTTACCTATATGGTTGTACCTGTATTTATGTATTATATTCACTGTACAACGTATTGTGTGTGCCCAACTCCATAAGTTCGTTGCGGCTGCGGCGGTGGCAACAATATATAATACACATACTATAGGTACGAGAATGATGCCCTTAACCTTGGCGCGCGTATCACACGGTAATAGTAACAATAATCGCTGCGTTGTCGTGCAAGTAGGTATCTATATCTTCTAATAATAATATAACGCGCGCGTATCGCGTCCGTATCTTGCAGTGCCGAGTGCGTGCGCCGGCGACCGAGTGGGTACGATACGACACGACGGCCCGAAGACGCCCCCGCCCGCCCCCCGCCAACCAAGTGTTGGGTGTATCTGCGGGCCGGGCCGGCGCTCAACCCGCCGACGACGACGACGACGCCGCCGCCGCCGCCGACGCCGCCGCCACCGCTGCGGACTACGACGACTAACTACCACGACGACCAGTGATTGCTATTCCGACCGCGGTCTGTCTCTCTCCGTCTAACCATAACAGCGGTCCGTGTACACCGCGCATCGCTCCCGTACAATACACACGGCAGTGAGCAGTTATCGCCGGCCCGCCGCCGTCAGGTTTAACCCCACGTGATTTTGGCGCGCGACCGTCGAACCCGGCGCGATCGCCCCGAAACGCGAATATTAAAAATTTTTATACAATCGTTATAATAATCGTACGCCAAACACACTATAGTACCGATCGTCCAATATTTATTAGTGTTCGCACAGCGACACGACCTCGGTAACAAATACAGAGGTAATCGTCGTCGTCGTCGTCGTCGGTGGTGTTTTTTTTTTTTTTTCGTTTTTTCGGTTTTCCCCGTCGTCCGCGTAACCGTGCCGTTTGTCGTCCGTTCGCGTTCCGCGTTTTCAAGCGCGTTTGCCGGGTCCGCGCCGTGGACGATTCGCTTGTTTAATGTATCCGTGGTATCCGAGGGATACGGCCGAAGTGCAGGTGTGCGCCACAGGACCGCAGTCGTCCGGCAGCCCGACGTCCGCCACGTCGCCGGCCATCAAGAGCGAGAGCGGTTCGGCGTACGGCGACTGCATGGATTACGCACTACACGCAAAGGTGAGCGAAGTCTGTTTATTTTCTCTAATTGCCTATACTACGATACGAGATGACGAATACCTGTCATCGGCTCTGCGGCGTAAGTCGATCGTTGTTTGTAATGCACAAAACCATCACGGTTGTGTCGATTATACATACAGGCACTTCACTATTTCGTGCAGTGATTACGAGCGCGAAATCGCGCGGAGTGTAACAGTAGGGTAAAAAATAAAAAATATGGGTCGAATAGTTTTAGTAGTTTGTGAGATGTTAAACAACCAAGTTCAACGGTGGACTTGTTATATGGGTCTTATTTAAAAAAAACAATTGTCTCCTAAAAATATTATCCTAGAAAATTGCTATAGAGTATAGATACATTCGTAAAAAGTGAGACAAAAAGTGCTCATTAGTCGGGTCAAAGGGTGAGTGAGCTACTTGGTTTATACAACTCAATAATAGACTATTTCGAAACAAATCGCGGACAACTATATTATTGGGGTTTCATATATATAATATTGCAGCGCTTAAAACGACTTTTTCGTATACCAATTACGTCCAAAACATTTATTGGTCGATAGATCAATTGCGCTCGGTATTTGTTGAAGTTATAGTCCGATAGTTGTACTCGGTTCCTTTTTATGGTTGATAGACCAATATGTGTATTAAATAATAAACACTGATCATTTAAATTAAAAATTTGTGAAAATATTTTTTTTATTTTATTCAGTATTATTTTAGTTTTTTCAAATAATAATATATTAACGTATAATAATGAACACTTATAATAAATTTAGCTAAGATAAATTAATAAATGATAATTTTACATATACAAGTAGTTATTTAAGAGTATATTATGTGCTACCCTTTAATATTTTAAACAGTATTGCTATATTGTTATGTTACGAAATTATTAATTATAACGAAAATTTGATTTTGTCCATGAGGTTTCACATAAATTCATAATTGTGTATGAATAGCATATTAGCATTTCATAAAAGTTTCAATACTGCATATTAGCTATGACTACATAAGTTTTTCAATTTCAATTTTTTTTAATACGTATAAATTATGTATTGTGTAAACCAATTCAATGTCAAAGGTATTACATTAGTTAAAAATATATTTTTATTATTTTTATTTGATACTAAAAAATAAGCGATATAAGGTGTGTAATTAGTATAATGATATTTATATTTACTATATACTAGTTATGGTAGCTTGAAATCCTTAATGAATAATATACCTCGTCACCTTGCTGCACTGTACTTTACAGAACGTAATCGGTACGTCTGTCAGGATTATCGGCGATTCTAATATGGTCTTAATCGTCTCCCTTCAACCCCTCTGGCAAGAAGACCGATATTATTAGTATCGGTAAATATGTCTATCTAATTCCTCGTTTAATATGATCTATAATAAATGATATAATATGATGCTTCTGCACTTAATATCATCGATCTATAAACCTACTCACGAAGGCGACTCTACTCGATCGTGGTTAATGTCATAGCGAGGACACTAATTCAGTCTCTCCGCATAATCTATATGCGTATTGTAATATGATAACAATAATTATAATATATTCTTAACTGTAGGCATTTATGTCATTTGTTATAAAGCACCATATTTTGGGGAGGCAATTGCTTCTATAGTAACAAATTTTAACTGTCCCGTAAAATATTTACGTAATTTATTTATAATCGTAATAAAAAAAATAAGATATAACTTAACTATATTTTGATTTTATCGTTGATGAATTTTGTTAATTAATATTTTTATTTTGCCCAAAAAAAAAATTTTAATGTATTAATTAATTGTATTATGAAAAAGTTTGAATACACGCGGACTTGATATCGCGACCGATTTTCATTCTGATAACAATAATATCTAGTTGATTTCGTATGCCATATAAGTGGTTTTATTACGTTAATTTATAAAAGTATCCCATAAGATGAGGTGTTTATTAATATCTTATTTTTACTATATCGCCTCACCCTACTAGGTATATAAATTATTATGTGGGTAGTACCTGATCCCGATACAAGAGATGCGTCAGCGTTCTGTATTATTACGTTGGTTATTACACGACTATATTATATCTACACTATTGTTATTGTATACGCTCTGTTGTTGTTTTTACACTTTCGTTAAAATATTAAATTATTCAATACACCACAATAATAATAGTTTGAAAGAATTTGTTTTTATTTTCATTTGATGTACGATGCAGGTGTAATGTAAATATATCATATTAATCGTATATTATATTATAAGTGGTTTCTTAATTTTTAGACATATTATTTATTATGGGTTTTTTGTGTAATATTTTGAAAGAATTTATAATTTAGTGCAAATTAGGGGTTTGATTTTAATGGTGAATGTAAGTTTTTATACAATATAACGGATAAAAGGAAGTCATAATAATAATATGTTTGTTTCTATTTTCTCTATGAGTGTATTTTTTAGATAATGTATGAATACAATAATTTGGTAAAATTGAAATTATATTAGTACATTTATTCGGTAAGAAAAATGAGTGACGTACATTAATTTTTTCACAGCGATAAACTTATAAATTTCTTAGTAAAAATATATTATTCAGTCTCAGAATAAACTTGCGTCATATAATATGTAGTTTATGTGGTTAAAATAAATTAAAAAAAAAAAAATTAATCAATATGAAATTTATACTTTTGTATATTATCAACAAAATAATTCCTACATTACAATCATAAATTAGAATAAAATTTAAAAATGATTTCCGTAATTTATTTCTAAAGCTTATAAATTTTTATAATTAAATGTTTTTTTCTGATTTTTTTGTGGTGGGTCACAATTTTATGTTTTTATTTTATGCGATATTAATTACAATTAAATCGTTGTGTTAAAAAATTAACATAACTCATTTTTGTCACCACGTAGGAACTTGCATATGTATGCATGTTTTAATGTGCTAGTCTCGTCATAAGACTCATTAAATATTTCATAATTATTCTAATAGAGAATAACGATAATTTGATAATTATTGATGTTATTGGAATGCAAAACATTGAAAGTGAATACAGATCTTGAGATTCTTAATCTTATTAATATTCTTTATAAACATTATAAAGACATATAATTCAGTATAGTACCATAGTTCGATTACAATATACATATAGATATGTTATAATACAATATGTAAATTATTATATTTTATATCAATATGAATTAACTTGACGACAAATGATTAGATTAATACGGTATATTAAAAATAAAAGTAAGAATTCAGATTTAACTAATGTAATCTATAGTAAATATTTATAGCTGCATAAAAATTATGTAAAAAAATATAACTGTTGATATATTATTGTAACAATTAAATACTAATGCGATTTAATTAAACCGTAAATATAAAATAACTACCATCGAGTCATTACATTACAAATAATACGTTATTATTAAAATTATTATTATTTTAATTAATAGAATAACATGTTAAGTTACACAATAAAAATAATTTTAAAACAACGCATTACTAATAATGAAGTATTAGGGTATATCGTATATAATCTACAAACAGAATAAAAATGATACTTAAGACTTGCACATTTATAAATTTTCAATTGCTTATTGTAACTTGTAGAATATTCTTGCAATTATAATTATTTATATTCTATTTATTGGAGACATCTGCTGTTATTAAATTAAGTTTAAATGTGAAATTTTACATAAATTATGTAATTTTTTTGTTAGTTTTTGTTCATATTAAATAATAGTGTTTTAAAGATAAAACTGAGACATGCATTTAATTGATGATAATTATATGTTTTATTTTTACATCAAGTATAATTGTATTATAAAAGTTATGGAATATAATTATGATGTAAAATATATTAAAATATATTTATTATTTAGGAAACTTGAGGTATGGGTAGTCTGTATTAAATTAATTTTATCAAGTTTAATCATGCTTTTAATATCAATATAATTATTAAAAGTATTTAGACATTAATTTAAAACAATAACTCAAGAGATTATAAAACATGTTTAAATTATCCCCTATTTATTTTTGATGAAGAGTTAAATAAGTTTTGCAATTTTGTTATTGTTTATTTTTAATTAGAAACAAATCGTTATTTTTATGATAAAATTTAATTACTATATATAACAGTTACAAGTATAATATCAAATTAAATTATTAAATTGTACCCATTTTACTATTTTTTGCTAATTTTTATTAATTAGAAATTCTCGAGATTTCTATGTTACTTTGAGAGAAAACAATTTGATTTAATAAATGAATGTGTAATATAATTATTTTTCGTAAAATTTATATTTTTTGATATGTAACACTAAATACAATGATACCGCACACGGTAAGATGTTACTTACTTTATTGTTACATGAAAATTGTTACATATTTCATGATGAAATATGTATTGAATGTTACTTATTCATAAAAAATATTAAATAATTTAATGAATTTAATGTTAATAAAAACTAAAAACGAAGAAAATTGATATCTTTGTATAAATATATTAGATCTTATGAGTTTAAAAATATATATATTATACTGTATTAACAAGATTTTTGGTGATTATATAACAATGAAACTTCCTATAGACGATTGCATAACTTGATATACTTAAGTATGGCTCGTATAGTTTATATAGTATGAAAATCTTAAAATAACTTACCTAAGTCATTTTTAATTATTATTTTATAATACGTTATATCATACCTAAACAAAATATCCACTTTTGATTTAATTTTGTGAATAAAATACTCGTTTATAGATAATGGTATATAGAGGAATTTTAAGATCACAGCAGTTAATAAATAAGTTTAGTCATAACATTTGTTTTAAACATTTAAAATTAAGCATAAAAAATATTGAGTGCCTTTATAGACCCTAAACAAATTATACTACTGTCTTTTGACTGCTGTTTCATAAGTCTGTTAAGTATCTTTATTAAGTACGTATATATAATGCATTTGCATTACATGGTACCAGTCTGGGTGTTCTTGTATATTATTAT